CCCCAAAACCCCAAAACCCCAAAACCCCGCTGTATCATATCTATTTATAAAAGATGAAAAACCTTAAAACACAAGATTCATTCATAAATATATGTATATCTATAAATTTTGTCTTCACTGTTATAATATTTCTACTTCACTATGATATATCTGCTTTCATTATAGAATCATTTACTCAATTGCTCTTTGCTTATCTTCCATGGCTCTATCTTATTGGCCTACCTCCTCAAAACTCATCGCTCTTAATAGCAGTGTTTAAGCAAGTGACTTCCTATTTTTACAGTTCTGCATCTCATTATCTATAAGCTTGGTAAAGTCTGCCACAGCCTCCTCAAATTTAAGCAGTTTCTAGTAGGACTTACCTCTCATTGTATAAATATCTCTAAGTTTTTCATAGCCTCTTTGAATTTTAGCCTCAGCATCAATCATCTCTGAATTTGAGAATAGTCCACTCGCTATGTTTTGTTTCTCCTAGAGGATGATAATTTCAAAGTGTTAGATTAGGATATTTAGAGGCTTCAATGCTTTATCGAACTTTGCTGTGTTATAGAGAGCATTACTTAAGATTGATAAAGATTTCAAGTATTACTTCTCAGTAAGAGTCTATGGTTTTTTAGTTAAGAGTAGGTAGTTCAAATCTTGAATGATGTTTTTAAAGTCTTTTTTGTGGAAATTAATCAGTGAACTCCAGTAAGAATAGACATTCGATTGTTTGTTTTGAAATTTATCAATGTATTCTAAGCATTTATTTATTTGTTTCAACTTGAAGTTAACTGATATCAATTGCTGTAAAACATCATCTGTAAAGTTTTAAATTTCATCTTGCAAGATCTGAAGCTGGATATCTCTATCATTGGTGATGTTATACATAATCTAACTCTTTCTAATGATAAATTTATTGTAATGATAGGAATTCTTATCAAAGCCATAAGATCTATTAGAAAATGATTAATTATATATCTTACAAGTCAAGTATTTGCAACAAAATTTCTCTTAAAGCTTAATGTTTTTCTAGATAGTCGAGTAGCTTCACTATGTATTTGACATCTGATGATTGTATTTGTTACTGTATAAATGATTAAATATCATCCTTAGATCTTTCTATCTGCTACCTTTGAATCTGGCATATTGCTCTCATTACATTTATCTATATAGATTTATACTTAAAAGATTGCTAACTTACTTTTAAACTGTTTTCATCTATAACCTATGCATTGTTAAAGTTTAGTATCGCATTTTTATAGTCTTGTTTGAGCATGTAAATCTTGCCTCTCATATAGTAACCATGGAAAATGAGAAATTAGTTGCTCTGCTCATGCACTAGGATCTTTTAAATATCTTCGAGCACTTTTTAAGTCTCTCCCATTTTATAATAGACTTTCAGCTTTTAGTAGCGAGTGTCAGTATTTCTGAGATTTTCAGTTAAAATACTCAGAGCTTCCTAATATCTTTGCTTTTTATAAAGGTATTCATGCTTTAATAAGTGATATTCCTCATAGTATCTGCCGAGTTTATCGCTGCTATTGTATTTCTTGTCTATTTACTAGATAAGAGTGAATGCTTTATTAATCTATGCTCGATCTCTGAGGCATTCTCTGATTTTTTACAGCTGCACTTTAAGTTGAATTGAAGTGGATGACTATTATTGATTGTGGTTACGACTCTAGGCACTATTAGATCTAGACGCAGACTCTCTCTGCCTTGTAAAGAAATTTGGATGCGCATCCTTATCAAACGAGGCATTATTTGACAGACGCTAGACGTTATAAAAATCAGAGCTTTTCCTGGCTGTTCTAGCTGCATTAAAGATGATGCTGTTTTTATCTAGAGCTGCAGTTGAGATACCCTTGACAGTCAATCTGTTATTGCTAGTCCTAGAGTTAGAGGATTTCCTGCTAGTTTAGCTCTCGATTATCTAGGGACCCTTTGACTCTCGTTCAACGCTCCAATCCTGATTACTGTAGGATTTAAGGTTTCGAGTAGACTAAGTAAGGGGTTAAAGCTTTACTTATCTGCTTTAAGAAGTGGCTGCATCAGCTGGACCTATGTTAATACTCACGATGTTGATCTTATGAGGTTGTGCTTTAACTGAAACTGGAATGGCTTTGACTTAAATCGCATTTTGCTGTTTGACCATAAGGTTTTAGACAGTGGAAGTGAAATTAAGTTTTTGGGTGATGGACGTGTCAATATGACTTATTTTCCTTGTCTTGATTGGCTTGTAATTTGAGTCATTTTAAAAGACAGTTGAAGCATTCGAGTAGTCTTTCTTTGTTGTTTGGTTAACTATCTTGCAGTTCTACTTGTTGAACATTTAATGAGTTTGAGAATTAGTTTGATATTACTACTATTGTTGCTTTGATTTTTGCATGATGGTAGTTTTAAGTTTCTTAAGGTTGATCATCTTACTGTAATCAGCTTTTAGCGTCTCAAACTTATGATTTCTCTCTCTATTCCTATTTCTCTGCCCCAGATTCAGATTTGACTTAAACTAGGTGAGACTTTTTTCTATGTATTTGTGATCGAACTTCTGATTATTGCCATCCTCTATGTGAATTATTTCGTGAGTGTCAAACTTAGATACTAATGTCTCGATTCTTTTGTTAAGGTTTTTATTCGTTCTACTCTGACTAAGACTGCTGTCTCTTGCTGAGGCAATACTTTACGGCGACAAAAGGATATCCTTGAAGGCAGTCTATGCTTTTGACTTCTTTTGATCTCTCATAATCAAGGGCGTAGTCTTTAAGCTATCTTTCCCTATCTTTTTGATATCGTCCAAGTTGATCTGAACTTTCCCGAATTTGGAGAACTGATCTGAACTTTGATTTGTCTGCTGAGATATTATTGTCCTATTCTATACTATTCTCAGTTCATCACCTTCTGTCTTGAAGTTATTATGATTTGAACAGTTATACTAGAATACAGTTTCCTCGCTTTAAGACTTTGGACTCAGAGTTTCTATTCTTGAAGCATATATTATCTGATTTCTTGGTGACTGTCTGTTTACTATAAGTGTCTCATATTGGTTGTTAGTAAGTTTTTCAGTGCTTTTTACAGCGTTTAGCTTTTTGAAATGCTTTTCTTGGCTTTAGCTTTCATTACTTATTGAGCTAACATTGGATTTAGTGTTTTTTAGGTTGCTTGATTAAAGGTAATAACTCATGTTGTTAGTAAGTTGCTTTAAGTTTTAGTCATTCTCCATTGCAAAGGCTTCGTGATAGGTATTTATAGCATCCTCGAAATTGCCTATTTTATTTTCACATACTGCTTTTGAGAAGGCAGCATTAACATGCTAAGGATTATGCTAAAGTGCTAATTTAAAGTCTGTTATGGCTTATTAATAGTCTCCCTTTTTCTCATGAATCTAGCCTCTCAAGTAAAAAGCCTAAGCTGACTCAATTTACCTCACCATAGAATTATTTGTTACATTCGCACTATTAGTGCCACTATTAGCTTCGCTTTGAATGATCTAATTGACTTCATCCATAGCCTCATCAAGTCTACCTTCTTTTATTAATTAAGAGCTCTTTATGCGTTGATCTCTACTCTGGCTCTAATTATAGACTCGATACTTCATTCTTTAGCTACTCTCATTTCTTATTAAATTTTTACTTCGGCATCTCTCCCCGTTGGTGCTATAAGTTGGATCATTAGAAATAATTTCATTCTGCTTGCCGTCATTGCTTTACTTGCTTTAATAGCCAATCTCTAAATCGATACCTGACTTGTTATGTTACTGTGAACTCACGCTATTTTTATACAAAAGACCTTGTAAAATCTAACCTTGCTTGAATAAATTGTTCTGACTCACCAAGTTCTCATTACTGAAAAGTCTAATTGGCGAGTGAAGTTTTTAAAAAGCTGTTTGAACTTAGTTGGTTATAAATAAATTTCTACTTATAGCTAACTACTTTTAAGAGTCTTGCTTGATTAGTTAAGGCTATGGAGGACTATAGAGTAAAGATTTAATGTTAATGGAGTCTACTGTGGGGATAGTACAATCACTTTTAAAGTTTTACAAGTTTTAATTAACATTGTTGTTGTTTACTATTAAATCATCACTTTATTACGGTAGGTCCAGCTTTGAAACTAAATCACAGTTCTTAGTACTGTCATCATTAGTACTTAATTCTTAAAGTATTTGATCTTTAAAGCTACCTTTATTAGACAAGACCTGTACCTGTAGAGTGTTAGGTTCATAATCATTAATACTTGGAGTAAAATCCTTAATTATAGCAGTTGATATAGGAGTATGATTTAAATCTTAAAATCTAACAGCACTTTTTTACTGTCTTACAAATGACTCAAAATCATCAGGCTTTTTATCCTAGCCTGGGGCTATTGATTATCTCATTTCTTTTACCGCATTATCTGATCTATTTGAGCCATGCTGAGTCAGTATCAACTCTTCATTGTTTATAAAGGACAATATAGACTGAGATATACTGATATCTTAGTCATTTGCCTTACTTTTTCTAGGTAACTCAGATTAGAAATTTACTGCATCCATTAGCGACTCATTTTACTTTGTCATTAACTTGTCTATTATCTAAGATTGGCACATTTGCTCATTCAAATAATTGGATATGGTCTAGATCATAGCACTAGGGTCATAGTTCTCTTTAGTTCCCTAATAATAGTCCTTATTGGGACTATTATTAGCAAAGGATTCATTTAGATTTAGCTTCTGAAAGGAAGAGTCTTTCAACGGTGAATTTTATTAACTCATTTTCATAAATATGAATGTTAGACTTAATTTATAAATATTAAAATTTAGCTTTAAATTACAATAACTCATATACAAATTTAATAAAGATTTTCAGAATCCTCTATGTACTACAAGATGCACAGAGCTTTATTTCAATAATTGACTTGAGTGAACTCCTTTCCAGGAGGTATAAATTACTCTAGAATGTTTATAGGCACTTGAATCTTTTTAGCCTTTTCGTCATAAGTATTATTGTATAGAAGACTAACATTATAAGGCTTATCAACCACACTTTAAGAGGTAATTTTTCTCAACTCTTCCAAGTATTCCTGCTAGCTATTTTTAATCTGTCGCTTTTTCGAGTGAGATGCCATCCTGGATTTCTAAGGACTTTGCTATCTGCTTTGCAATGTTACACTATTGGATTATATATAATCATTTTATTAAGAACTCTCTTGGTTTTTTTTGTTATTTACAGGTGGTTTATTGTTAAAGTTGACACTAGATTAGTTAAAGTGAAGCTTGGAAGATATAAACTATCTTAACTCAAGTGATCTGTATTTATTATAGGCTTGATCATTTAGAGATAGCTAGGGAAACAAGTCTTCATTGAACACTTAACTTGACCTGCTAGACTCTGGTGCTTCTTCAATGCTATTTGATCTTCTAGATAAGACTTGCTATTTTGCAATCATTTTGCCAATTCCAGTTCCTTCGAAATTCTTAAATTGATTAAAGTTTGTCTTATCATAGAGGAGGACCTTTTAGATGCGATTATCTCTAAATCCATTAGCCATTGTCTTATTCAGTATTTGATACTTCAAAGTCACTAAACTATTCTAATTCGAGAACTGAGTTTCTATTACTTTTAATCTCCTGCGTTCTCGTTGTTCCTGAGTGTGATACTAACCATGAGATTTGGCCTAGGAATAAGTTGAATCTTAATGACCTAAGATTGGAACATAATCAATGGATTTATTCATATGAGAGTTGTTCTTTTTAATGGATCTTTTTCTTTTGACAATGCTCATTTCAGGAGAATTTTCTCTAAGTTCTTGCTAGCTATTATTTAACAAAGGACTATGTACATAATTTTCTAAGTCAACTGATCCAATATTTGAGTGAATAACTCTGAGCTGAGGTCTTTATGAAGGGCCTTAATATGAGACAGATTAATTTAGATGTAATTATTTCAGCAAAGATATTTTCTTTATGAGATCTGTTTAGTAATCAATGACTGGCGGAGATTTATCCTCTTTCCTGAACGATCTAAATAACTCCTTAGACTTAGGGTATTCCTCACCAAATTCTATGTTCTTTATTGTTATTTAACTGTACCCGTCATCCTATGTATTAACTGAGTTTGCTCTCTGCTGATTTAGAATAGGATACATTGGATTGTTAATAGAATATGAGTAGTCAGATTTATTCGTAATATCAACTTTCAATTAGTTTTATGGGGATTGTAGGCTAGTTGGAGGTTGACTTTTATCCTTTGTTTGTACTGAATTCTAATCAATCAAATAAGATTAGATGGAATCTCTTTATGTTTCATTTGGCGTCTCAGTCACCTAAGGTACTGTTTAAAGCTATTCCTAATCTATAATGCTCATTTCTCATTTAACTATTTTTTTAGGTGAATCCTTCAAAACGCCTGTAGACTCATGACTAACGAGCTTTAAATCCTAATTAAGCCTTTTAGGATCACTTGCTCTTGGCTTTTTAGCTGAGAGTTTATTAACTTTTATTAACTCCTCACCAATTAATGTATCTTTTTAATCCAGAAACTCCATCTGCTCTCTCTTACTTTATTAATGAAGCTATTTCCAATTTTCAATTGATTTCTTCTTTGTCCTCAAAATTTATAGATTTTGCTTGATCTGGTAGTCTTTGATCAAAAGGTGATTCAGAGTATCTCGATTGTGCATTTCCGATTAAAGATTGCTCCTGGTCTAATTAAAGCCCTAGTTTGAGTTATTTAATAGGATACTTTGATGATTAATTAGATACTCATATTTATTTTTATTCTGAAGCAACAATCTCATCTGCTCTGTAGTCAACTTCATTTTATTTTTAAGCATTTAATTTTGGAATGATTGCTAATACTAAGCATTGTTTTGTATTTGATCAAATGACAACTCATTTTAATTGTTATAGTAGGCTCTATCAAGGGACTAATCTTAAATGCTATTTTATTGCACAAGTCTCTCCAGTATCTTTTTATGTTAGCTTTTATTCTTGAATCTATTAGCTCTCTGCACACTCAACTATTTCTAAAGCAAGTTTTGCTGTTTAAAGACTGGAGCCATATTATTGATCTCGTTGTAGTCATAGTTATGTTAGGTTGAAATGAAACTTTCAGTGCCATACTTTTTCAAATCTTCAACTGAGCCTCGATCATAGTTTATAGGTGGCGAACTAATTCTTATACTGTTGTTATTAGTGTTGTTAAGATTACCTTCAGCACTCTCTCTGTTGAACTATGACTTGTAGTATTAGTTAGAGATTTTTTTCCTGCCTGAATTCTAAATTGGGATCATTGATCTTTCCTTAAGCTGGACAGATTAAATGGCTTACACATTTTTTATTCCCGCAGTTGATTGATATTAAGGCTCATTCATCCTATGGAGTGTTATAATTGATGCGTTTGATAATCTATTGTGGGATGCTCTCATCGGCGAATCCTTTTCAATGCTTATAGGGGTTGTGGATCAATCTATTCCAACTGCTATTGAGTTTGAGGGGTCACCAAAACTGACAGAATTGTTGTTGTTATGCAGTCTTTTCATTCTGCTCTAGTTCTGAGCTGCCTGTTAATTAACTAATTTGTTTATCAGCATTTTTTATTTTAATTCTCTGCTAAAAACCTGTAATATCCAAACATTTTTATTAAAGGGGTTTTGGGGTTTTGGGGTTTTGGGG